CTATCAACCTGAAACATCGATCACACGATAAAAAGCTATCACTGTGTGATAGTTCCTAAGTTGAAACATCTAGATTGATTTTATCTGATTTGGATTTTTGAACAAATGATTTTAAGTCTGTATAAAATACCTCTGCTATTCTTACATGCACTTCTTTTTTAATTTCAAACTCACAATTTATTTCTGGAACAGTTTCGTGATCAATTAAATTTTTTAAACGGTCACAAATTTGACACGTGTCAGTTTTTGGAGGACCGAAAGTTAAAATGAAATTACTTTTGAAATATTTTTTTCGAGAACCGGCAATACATGGGGACCTTCCAACAGTAGGGAGCGGGCTGAGAACCAGCCGAATCGAGACTCCCGCGATATTTTAGCGAGCCTATGTAGATAAATCTAAAGCCTTGGCCAAAAAGCTTAGATCTCTCGCAGCGTCATCTTGGCGAATGTCATATCACGGTGAATCGGGCCCTAATTCGTTTAATTCATTTAATTATTTACAATTCACAAAGAATAGTAGTACCAAGCAGATTACTCCGTCAGCACAGTCCGGGAGACCGCGAAACCCGCACAAGGCGGTTCCGACGCTCTCCCGTTATGGACTAACGTGGCACCCTGACCGATGTCCCGTATTTCGTCGCGGGAAGTAAAGGGCACTTGCAAGGCCAGAATATCCAGACCGTCCTGCAATGCTCGTCGCCCCATCTCCCCGGACTTAACCTGACTGCGACCCAGGTTGAGCTGCGCCAGGCGAAGACCACGAGGCCGGTTGCTAACTTGCGGTGTATTAGGCTTGCTTAGTTTTCAGTGTTTCCTTCTCAGCCGCCACCCTGCTAGACGGGCAGTCGCCACTTGATGCACGGTGCGTCGATGGTGCACGTGATCGGACGCAGTTGACACACCTCGGTGGTCGGTTCTAATGCGGGCAAGCACTCAATTCATGCCCGGTTTTACCACAACGGGCGCACGTCAATTTGCCACGGCATGATTTCTTTACATGGCCATAAGCAAGGCAGTTGTAACAGCGCGACACTGCAACGTGTTCATGAACCCTACAGCGGACCCATTCAACGTACAAATGACGCGCTTTCTTCAAGGCGGCGACGATTGCAAGTTTGGCTGTGCAAACCCAGTCGACAAGATTCATCCACATCGGGCCGACTCTGAAGCTAGGCTTCAGACCTGTAATAACCGCCTCCTTGGAGAGGTCGCCCCAGACACTCGGGTTCTGCAGAAAAACACACTCCACAAGTTCCGCCTCGGAGAGACAGGACGGCACGTCACAAATGCGGAAGCGTGGCATGCGTGCCTCGGGTTCCGACACCGCATAACCCGCCGCGTTGAGCGCCGCAAAGGCCTTGAGTGAGTGGAAAGTCACCTTATCAGCGGCCTCTATCACCAAGGCGCCCGCGTGGGTAGTCCTGGTCCGGGCGATCTTTAGGCGGTTAACCCTCGGAGCCGCCACCGACCAGAACTTGGTCGCATCCGTCGACGGGACGCCCGTGTCCTCTTTCGGCTTCACGAAGAGAGTGAGTTCACCCCTGCGTCTGGCCCTTATTTTGGCCGACTTACTCATCTCCGCTGGGCGTGTCTGATGGAGCGATTTGGCACCGCTGCCTCAGCGTTCGGACCGCGTGAAGCGTTCTTGTCGACCTTCTTTGCAGCCGTGGTAGCTACTGTCGATTTTACCGCGTCAGAATATGCCTTCGGCGGTGCCTCTTTTTGCACCTCCCGGGGGGTGGTGTTCCCCCGGGGACCAACTGGCTGCTTCTTTTGCCCGTTTCGGCTAGCGCTGTCTATCTTAGCCTGGGGCTTCATTTTGGGTTCAGGTATCCGGACGCTATCCGCGCAAGGACCTTTCCCTGCTGCTGTCTTCGGCTTCTCCTTGATCGGACAATGGGCGTTTGAAATTCCAGGAGTTTCAAGCAACTCGTTGAGGCGCTCGGCAAGTGTGCCAAACTCCTCCCGGTAGACTACACGGATGGACTTTTTAGCGTCATCAAGCAAAAAGCCGATCCTCGCTAAAATGTCCTTAACCTTCTTCTCTCTCGTTTGACGGTCGTGGTCAGTCTTCTGGCTTAAACCTTTGCTATCAGACTCGTTCGGGTAGCGTTGATTACCCGTGGGGTTAACCACGGACGAAGACGATCCTGCAGGACTCACTATTAGGCAATTTCCTCTTGCCTTCGTTAGTGGAGAGAACTGGACTTGACAACCCGCTACCTTTTGGTCCTCCATTCTTTTTCGACGAATGTCCGACTTCAGTGTCTTCAAACCTTATATAGTTAAATTTATTATCACATTTATCACTTTTATTCTTTTTATTTTGAGTATATAAATTGTCTTTTGTCATGCGACTATACATTTCATTATTTGGTTCAAAATTCACACAATTTTTTTTACTTTCTCTGCCACCTTTGATGAGTTCTTTGGCATGAAGTGCTCCATTTATGGTCTCTGTATTAAGCCTATTTCTTAATTTTGTTTTCAGATTGTTGACTGTAGAAAAGACCCGTTCACAGTCTGCATTGGCATGAGGTAAACTTAATACTGATAAAGCAAAGTCTGCCAACTCATCAAAATCTCCAAGTACTTTAATTTCAGACCTAAATACTATTTATAAAGCATTTATACTTTATTTACTGCAAGTATAATATTATATTGTCAAATTAAGGTTACTTACAAAAAAACATCAGGATATTCAGTACCGATTTCATCTGTCAAACTAGATATTATCAAGGGTAATCTGCGCCACTGATTATCTATACACTGCATAAGTTGGACATTATCCGACTTCACAATCCTTGGCACTGTAGTTATAGGAGGCTATAGCGAAGTATTATTTTCTCTAAAGCCTGCTGATATGGCATTACTTGGTTTTAATATGGAAATCTTTGATAATACTGATACCTCACAACAACACACGAAGTTTTTACTGTTCCAATATCGGTGGACTCGTCAGTTAATAAGCTGAACATCACTGTTTTTAATTTTTCTGCAAGTTGATTTTTTTGTGTTTTGCCTACTTTATACATACAACTTTTACCCTCTGCAAAGTTACAGCACAACGACGAGGCGTATTGTCTGCTGTAAATAAAAAATATTGAACTTACCGCCCACTTTGACGAATAGCTTGTACGTGGTTGCTTGCTATCCCGTGATAATCTTAAGGCTTAAATGAGAAGAACAGTTTAAGTTTTCAGCCAACCTCCACTGTAGGTATAACAATATAATACTTATTCATGTTTTACACTTTTCGCTTTTTACCAAAAATCACATATTACAATCTAATTTTATTTTCCTTTTCCCCTTTTTTATATTATACAAAATTGGTTTGAAAAAAATTGTTAATAAACACCAAAGCGGTTAATACTTAACGATTGTATTTGAAAACATCTTTAAACGTACAAATTTAACAACTCAGTCTTAGTACGGTTCTTATAATTAACAAAATTTTTATAAAAATAAAATAATACAAAGTTTGTAGGCCAACTGTGTTTGTTTTCTTTTTGTAAAGTTCAGCATGGGAGATCACTAATTTTTTCAACCGGATATCCCAATTTTTTTTTACACTGGCGGCATCGTTTCAGTGTTCTTACAAGTGGAAATGTCATGGGCTATAAACAAACATCATACGTTATATTTTAATATATATTTTTATGTGTATGTGCATTGTACTGCTGTTTTATAACCCGGAAACGAAGTAAAACTTGAATACAACAATGGAGTATATATTTCATGGCAGATTTTAGAGTTATTTGGTCATTTAAAATATCACTAGGATCTCCATTAAAAAAAATATCCCATTACGATAACTGCAGACAGAAAATAAATATATGATAACAACCATAATAGGGTTGGTTAAAATAGTTATGGTTTTCTACAAAATATAAAAGTATAATAAGGACGACAGTGTTTACAAACTTTAGCTGAACAAATTATTATGAAAATAGTATTTTAGCGTTTAGTATACATTATGTATTTAATAACGACTATTATTTTACAATTACCGGTGAATCATAGTATAATATACAGGTTTCCATTTGATTCTTTTAAGTTTTCTTCTCCAACCTAATATCTCGCACTTTTTATTTATTTAGATAGAAAAAATACAATTGACCTCAGAATTCTCAATTCTCTATATCTTAAGTTTTTTGATGTCATATAATATAATAGATAGGATAAAAAGGATTGGCAAATAGAAAATGAGGTGGGATGAAACTATGAATTCACAAACTGTCTTTGATTCGATTTCCATGGAAGGCTGCACATATTAAAAGATAATCTCATTGTGTGGGTCCCTTTGTTGTTTGTCCTAAATTTAAGAGACCTACCAGAGAAGTGTACACTTACATGAGACCGGGGTATCTCGTTTTTACGGCCTTCCTTTTCACCATTGTCTAACCATTTTTTCAAATCTTCCGACAAAATATGCTTTTTATTGAGTCTTTTGCGTAACATCTCTGCTTGCAGTTGTTCATTCCTTTTAACAACAAGATTTTCTCAATTGTTTTTTTACTTTTATCACACTAAAAGAATAGTCGCCAATAATTATTACTCGTCTTTTAGTCTGTTCAACCAACAAATCTCGTTGTTTACTTCTTCAGTCTTTTGTGTTTGATCGTTTTGATTGCGAGCAGCTACTTGCGACAGTTGGTATTCGGCTGTTTTCGTGTTGATACTATTTATATCAAAAAGGTTGTACAATGTTAACCTATTAAAAAATAGTTTAAAATATTCCTGAACTCATTCGTTCACCTCTTTTTGTATTCTGTCATACTACTTGGTCGGATCTCGTTCGTGCCCAAAATGGTTTTCGACAAAGGCAATGCAATCATGTTTTTCTTCTGTTCTTCTTCCAGTCGCCGTTTTTCCATTAATTGCTCATTTAAAACTTTCAAGTAGCTTTCTTTCGAACGATTCTTCGCTTCTATATTTCTCATTCTTTCGTCGTGTAAGCTGAAGCAGGTGACATAGTAAATCTTAATCTTAAACATCATTCAGGAACCCGTGTTTTGTTTATACCTTTTTATAAGCTCTTCTTGGACTCGTTTTTCATCTTCTAAGCATGCTGTTTTATTTGTATTGTTTTTTAATTTTTTTTCTTCTATCTGGTCAAGTAAAGTTTGCCTCAGAGCAATTTTCTCACCGGAATTCTCTGTGACGCTTTTAGGTCTCTAAATAAACTGACTTTAAAATAACACTTAACTGAGATTTATAAGCGTAGCCAAGTTAAAACTTTATGTACTTTATAGAGTATGTAACTTTTAGCGTTTTTTTCACTTAGGGCTTTTTCGTTTTCGTTTTTAATTACTTCTGCGAGTTTTTTGGCAGTTACATAATTGTAGTTTGATGTGTCTTTCAATTGCATTTTACGCTTATTTTCAGTGTCCTAACAACAAATTGCTGAAATTGCTATTTAAAAAAAAAAAAATTCTAACCTCGGTATACCTACTGTGTTTAACGGTTGGCCAAATGGGTTGTCTCCTTTCATAAAGTTATCTTTATCCTGTGAATCTGGGATGAATGTATTTATCGTGTCCACTCGTTGTTTCCTCTTGCAACATAAGTAACACAAATGATCTGAAAAATATATAAATACTAAATACTGTACATAGTTATAGATTTTTCTTGTATGAAATCATTCAAAATTAAAGTACTCACCGGTGTTATTTTCTATTTGATCCACACAGTTGTCCTGGAATTTAGTTTCTTTTTCAGCTTTATCGGATAATTTGGCCAAATCCACTGACGATGCTCTGGTCTGGGGTCGTGATAAATGATTGGACGATGCGGGTCTTTCCAGCGACCTGGATCGGATCGATGATTGTCTGGACAACCCCCTCGATCCTGGCCTATTGGATTGGTGGTTCGATCTTACTGATAAGTTGGACGAAGGTCTGCTAATCGGTCTGAGAGAACAGACCGATAGTCTGGATGTGGGTCTTTTTGCATTATCAGAAGGCATGGGCAGCACACGTTCGTATCCGGTACCAGGTCTATACTGTGACAACGAAGAGGCTGGTCGAGAAATGACAGAGCCTGATGTTTGTGGTCGCTCCTGAACATCATCAAAAGGTATAATTAATAAAAACAAATCAGTCTCTTCGAACCGACCTGATGAAATACTTCTCGTTTGTATTGATCTCGATCCCAATTGGGGTCGTAACTAGTGGCCTTATAGCGATTCTTCCTTGCTTCCATGCGGTCTTGCATGTACTCGTTTTGCCTGTCCAAAAATTGGCGATAAAACCTCATGACGACTTTCTTATTTTTCACTTGTAATTTGCCAATCCTGGGAAAAGGAAGTTCGCAATTTTTCTGCTCGTACAGAAGTTTCTTAAACGCCGTCACCACTTCTTTCAGACAATGCTGGACCATGTCTGGGTCCAGGTCGTAATCATGTGCCACCGATAGCAGATTCAAATAATGCTCGTGGATCTATGAACGTGGCATGGATCAAAAGTATCAGTGCTCTCGAGTATATAGCTACCTGTTAGCACTCACTTTCCCTGTATTGTAAGGTCGCTTCCTTTTCAAATTGTAATCTTTTGCCAGTTTCTCGTCGATCACAAACACGGGCTTTCTGATTGTAAACGGGTATCCTTTACCCACCGGTATATCCCACTGGGCCACAGTGAAGTAACCGATTCCTTTCATCAGTATACCCTGCAATATGAATTAATAGTACAATTAGTAGTCAGAGCTCACGACATTGTGCCAATTACAAGCACTTATATACGAGGTAGTGAATAGAAATGTATAATTATGACAAAAATATGCTTTTGAAAATAAATTAAACGAGCAGCCATATATATTTACGACTGAATAGATATTGTGTAAAACCTTATTTTTTGTTTTAATCAATAAAAAAAATACAAAACGTTATGAACAAAGAAAAATGCGAACCTTATAAAAAGTAATTTATTATGTAGACGTTTAATACAAGCCTACGTTAAAATGAAGATGTTCTAGTAAAGTGGATTGGCGTGGTAATTTCCTGAAAACCATACTTAACCCTATAGCAATTTACAAACAAAACAGTTTTACTCGGAAACTGTTTTGAATCGAGTACCTTAAATACAATTATATGAAAACATTTATTTTCGTTTTTAAAATATAATACATTTTGGTGTACAGTTACAAATACTAAATATGATTATACTCTCATAGGGTTTACTTTGTCACGGTTTATGTTGTTTTCGATCCATCTGGAAATACAATCCCACACTCTGATTACATCTAAGAAAAACAGCTGCGGTTATAAATCATTTGGTCACTGTCGTTGCAAAATCCACCAAATTACCTTTAGTCGTGTACTCAGTGCCAATTTTCGTTTTAAAGTTATGCTTAGCCGTTTCCAAAATTTTTTCGTTGTATAATTCTCCATCTGCTGTATGAGACTCCATTATTGCCAAGATAAGTTCTGCTTATAATGCAGTTAGTTCAGGATGATTTTCTTTTTGCTATCTTTCTAATGACTTTCTTTATTATGTTTACCAAAATCCGGTTACCATGACAGTATGAAAGATATTTTTTTGACATTTTTTTCTTTGCTATGGCACACACACGGAAAATCGACACCGTCACCTGTTATCATAACGAAAAAAAACAGCTGATTTATCTAAAAAGATAAGAGGTAAGGGTGAGAGTTAGAGATGAAGGATGGGGTTGGGGTGGGGGTGTTTATAAGGATAAGGGTGTAAAAGGGGATGAGGTCAAAGATAGAGTTGGGGTAGGGATGAGGATGGGGAGGCGATGTTAAATTTTTTTAATTTTGTGTTTTCACAACGAACAAACTTAAATTAATGCGTAATGAATTGATTCAAAATAACTAGCCAAGTGAACGTTTTGCTAATAAATCGATTAAGGCCAATTATTAAAAAACTACTAATACATTTTTGGCAACAAAATTAATCATCACCTACCATTCGAGTACCGTGGTTACCATTGTCACAAACCAAATGTTTATTTTGGGTTAGCAACGAAAAATATTTCGAATGGTATTGGTACGTGAGCCGTGGTTTGAGGAAGAGATTTAGGTTTAAGTCAGTAATTTTAACGCAAAATTTCGACGGATTTTCTGATTTGTATTATAAAACAACACAAATAAACAATTTAAAACAAAATGGTTGTGTACACAATTTACAAATAACTTTAAAGATACTCTGAAACATACATAGATGCTCTGAAAAACTTAGATACTTCATAAAACACGACTGATGCTCTGCAGCAAAACGACTAATTCACCGTTGTAGGTGGGACACGGCCGAGGTGTATCTGACTAGGGCTAAATCCCTAAGTCAGCGAATTCTATTCGACTCGGTCGTAGTCAACACCAATTACCTGATGCTCTTAACTTTTATAATTATTTACACACATATAAAAAACATATTATAATATTCAGGCCTTAATAACTTAAGGCCAAGCCAATTGTCTGATGTCTTCATCCAAGTCATAAATGAACAAAGTATCGCCTTTATCCATAAGATCTATTGGACGATCGATTCTTTATATATATAACAACATATTTGTAAATAAAAATACCGGGTAAAACTTGTTCGATTTAATTTTATGTTTTACGTTTTTTAACGTTAATTTTACATTCATCATATCTTTTTACATTTGACAATATTCAAATATGAACGATTCCGACACTTACAAGTGGTATTTGAAACGTACTGTGTACATAGGGGGTTTAGCTGAAGAAGTGGACGACAACGTTTTGAGATCTACATTCATCCCTTTGGCGATATTGTTGATGTTCCGGTGAATACTAAAAATTGTAGATTCATATTGGTAGTATTTTAAACTTTGTTCTAAGTTTTTCATTTTGTTAATTTTTTTTTAAAATACCCTACACTTGCATTTGGTTATGTAAATTACTATTAACAAAAAAAACAAGTTTACTGAATACACATTTTTAATATTTCAAAAATTAACCGATTAGCAGTATACCACGGTTCCTAATACCTAATTGATGGAGTTCCCTAGGCCTCAATCCTATTTGGATATCAAATCGAATTTTTGGTATTTCCATTTTTGGAATTTTTAAGCAAATGAAAAACAGTTGTTCAAAAATCGACTTCCACATTGACCTGGGAAAAGGGTCAATGTAATATACTGTAGGCGCGCGCTCTTCAGTTAAAAAAATATTAAATATTTTGTTTTAACATACAGCTGCCCTAGGCCATTACTTCCCCTTTAATTATATGTTTAAATATTATTGTACTGTAACGGACTTACTTGTCTAGCTGGCTAGACTAAGCGAAGTGGCCGTCGATAATGCTAAAATAGACGGATCCCCACGGGAAAAAGGTTGGCTAAAGTCAACTAGTTAACTAGATGTTACGCGACGTGCATTGCTCTGTGTGTGCGACCGTTCCCCTACCTATAGTCGGGGGTGCTGTGTCAGTAGGTTTGGGTGAAATATGATCGTTACAGTATGTTAAGTGGCTTTGAATTTTAAAAAAATTATGACATTTTAACTGAATTAAGTACTTTATTACCGAAAAACTGTGATATTTTTTACACAAGTCGTTTATACAAAATACAAGTTAAAACAAATTACTTAATATTCCTTCTTTTAAGTGTGTAGTAGTAGTAGTAGTGTTTCGATGAAATTGAGCGAGATTCGGTAACTTGTGTGGATGATAGTATAAATCATGGAATAACAGGAACAACTCTAAACCAAGAATCCACCAAAAAAAAAGAAAAAAACCAAACGTGGAACATGCATTAATCGAATTTATGGAAAGCCATAAAGAGACAAATAACCTCCGAAAATGATGAGATCTGGTTTTTTTTTTATTCATTACTTCCATCCGTTAAATCGCTAACTATGGATGATAAATTTGCACTCTAATTCAAACAATGCAGCTCAGATTCTCTAGGAATTGTTTTAAGCCAGATATTAAACACTACAATATTAGCCAGAAACTTGATATGTGTTATATACTAGCCACCTTAGATACTAGGAATAGTAATGCTGAGTAGCTTTGTCTTTCGTCATTATACTTTTTTGTAACCTTTCGACTTGTGTGACTCGCTAACCTAACCTAACCTATTTATCCAGAAATTTATTCGGTACTTCAACGAAACATTATTATGTTCTATCGTGATTGCAGTCTTGGCTGAAAAATGTTTTTTTTTAGAGCAAAACAGTTCATAGCCCAGCTTATAATGTCCGACCTTTTTCGTTTACCGTTGTATTTTACAGCTCCACTCGGTCACATCTCTTTTCTTTTTTTTTAATTTATCTTATTTTAACAATTTAATTAACAATTCAGTACAGTGTATATCAACTTAAACTTAAATTATACTATACCAAATAATAATATTAACAATACAAAGTTCAGTGTAAATAAGCTGAAATATAACTTAATGTACATAAAAAAAGACTAATTTTAACAATATATGAAACTATAAATTCATTTTATTTGTTTTTTTTTACTACTCGGCCCACTCTAGTTATTGTTCTATTTTCTATTTCTTTTCCTATTTCATCTTTATTGTTTTTATAACTCATTTTTTATTAACCTCTTTATCATTTTCCTCAGTATTATTTTCCTTAACTTAAATATAACTGTACCTTTATTTTATCCATTTACTAGTTCTTTTTAAAATTCTCCCCTTTTCATCCTTAATTCCTTGGATCGGACAATTTTTTAATTATTTCTCAGAATGTTGAATTTACCTTTATGATTTGTATCAAGTATAATGACGTTTTCTGTGACGCCAGACAGTCATTGTGCTTAAAATGATGTACATTATTTATAAAAATAATTTATTTTATCGAATAACATAGTATTTTGTAAGTATTATCTATATTAAAATATTATAAAATAAATAGCCGTTAAAAATTATAACTTAAAATGAACAAAATGATAGCCTGGCGAGGTACAATCGATTAAAACGAAAGATCTGTATAGGTATTTTTTCTTTGGCTATAATTTACCTATTCTAACGATTCTAAAAATAATTTAATATTTTACATGTATTATCCGCATTAAAATATTATGGAAAAAAAAGCCGTTAAAAATAATATTAGTAAAAATGGTCAAAACTAAAGATTTGTAAAGGTTTTTTTTTCTTAGGGCATAATGGATTTAAATTTACCGAGCACGATGCCCTATGTTAGGTAAAGTGGGTAAGGCTAGGTTAGGGAACCAATACGGCAGCAAAATAACCTCGGCAGCGGGTGAGTCAACGATACGACGGCTAATTTTTTCCATAGAAATCATATTCAGCGGCAAGACCTTGACGACGACGAATCTACCGGCTTCGGAGGCGAATCACCTTTGGCGGTCAATCTCCGGAATCATCCCAATCGCCAATCGTCCTATTATCCCAGAATATAAGTTTCCCTTGTACTTATTTATATTGTAAAAATGTTGATTGGTCGATAACCAGTTTTGGATAATTGTTTAAATAATTAAAATAATTGTTAAAATAATTGTTTGATAATTAAAGTTTATAGAATTTTAAATTTAGAACGGGAGGTGAAGTGCGGTTGATTAACGAGAGTAGATACAATTAATACTATACTTCATCCGTCCTAAGTTTTAAACTTGGTAACTTTAAAAGAAATGAAAGTTTAATACCCTTTATACACTATTAAACAAACAAATCGAAATACTTGAGCTAAAATAGTTTATTTTGCTCTGAGATCGACTTTGAAACCCTTACATTTATCTGCCAAGTTGTTGCAAATAAGTTTTTCAATACTTGCAGATCTTACAATATCGAACCCTTCGGCGCCTCCAAATGTTTCTTGCTTCCACCAGTTTTTGAACCCAATTGGACTTGATAAAATTGCACCCATAATCAAACTATTTGACATGGCATTGTATGTAGGTGATGTAATTCCGTTTTTGTGATTTTCCGCCAACATTCCTGGTATCAACTCGACATTTTCAATATGATCATACAAGTTCTTTAGCTGTATAGCCATTTCTTTATCTCTAGTTAATGAATAAAAGTTTTTATAAGGCTTCAGTCCCAGATGTCTTCTATAGTTATTGAAACGTTGGGACATTTGTTCTCTTGATAATTTCAACAAAAGTTTCGTCAGTGGTTCTGTAGCTGCGCCATCATTTTTGCACGTGACCATGCCCATTTTATGATTGACCATTAACTGAAGTGTGGCACTCAATCCATCCACAAACAGTTGTCTTAAAACATCACATGACATAATATTCACGTTACACGTTTTTATTATGTTCTAAATTATGTAAAATATACTTTTAGCGTATATCAGGTATACCTGTTGTTACTGAAAAGTAATGTACTCAGATCGGTGCCATTTATATCGTCTGGCAAACTGGATGGCCACATGGTAGCAAAAAGTAATTCGTCCGGAGTATTCCTTCCTTTATTCGCAATGATGGGTACATTTTTGTGTAAAACG